AGATATATATATATCTTAAATAAATAGGTAGTTGGAAGGGAAAGTTGGTTGATGGCAGAAGACACAGACAGGGGGTCACTGGGTTGCTAGACTGATGCCCACAGCCCCTTCTTTTTGAGCTCCAGCAGTCTCAGTACCACTGATGTAATCACATGAAATGCAGGCCCATTGACTTGCATTAGATGTGAGGACACTTTCCACAGCCAGAGCAGAAGGGGAGAGAGGTGAGTGCCATTTTTTTTTTTTTAAGCATGTAAGTTTTTATTGAGGTTATATACAAAAGATGATTTATGCAAGTGACATATCAATATGAGTACATCAGACATCATAAACTGTAATATTAAGCACAAAAATGGTATTGCTAGAACCATACACATGGAACCATACAGTAATGAAACCATTTATGTGACCATTTATAATAGCTTTGTTTGATAATCTGTCTCCAATACATTCCTTCCGCTTTAAATGTATCTGTTAAGTAAATATGATAGAAGGTAGAAGAGTTAGCCAGAAGAGAATGAAAATTTGTTAATGTGATGTCGCACGATATCAATTTGTAGACTTGGTATATGAGGTGTCAGGGACAGGGATACCCATGATGCTTTAAGAGCAAGGCAATTTTTTTTTTTGGGAAGGAAAAGGTAAGTGTCAAAGAACATCTAAATCTCCTAATGTACCAGTGAGTTTCGCTTCTAGGAACCATTTTGAGAATTGAAACATGTTCATAAGGGCTTTGAGCTGATCTAGATTTAGTTCCAATATCGCAAACTGGGACCAAGTGTTAAAAAAACGGTCTACCTTACAAAGACCAGAGGTGGTGTCTATTTTGTCCATTAACATGAGGCGATGAAGAAGTGTTATCATTGAGTCTGTATCAGGGGCTGTCGGTAATAGCCAGTTAGTCAGGATAGCTTTCTTAGCGGAAAGTATGCAAAAATGCTCCCACCTCGATAAGGAGGGGGACATTGGTGATTCTGCTCTAGGGGCATGGAAGAGACATATGTCTGGGGCCACCACACGTTTTCTGCCTGAGCAGGAGTTCGTATATTGAATCACCTTAGTCCAGAAGGTTTGGATGGCAGGACAATTCCACATCAGGTGGGTAAGATCAGGCGATGGAATCTGGCATTTTGGACAGCTCGTTAGCCAATCGGGTGGAGGGTTTCTTATATGTAAATCGAAGGCGTAATAGGCTCTATGGATGATCTTGAATTGCATTTCCCTCCATGATTCACATATCATCGCTCGTCGGAGGCGACACCACCCAGTCTGGATGAGATCAAAAGTCTCTTCCGGTGGGGAAAGTAACAGCGTGGCCCACTTGTGGATGCTGGTTGGTATCGCTGCCGCAAAAGATGAAAGTAATTTACAGCCCCCGATTACTAAGTTACGGTGAGTACGGTAATTTTGCAGCAGGGTCTGTTTATCTGAATAGTCAAGGTATTTTACAATGACAGGTCTGGGTCTCGATGCATCCACATCCTTCAGGGGGCCCAGTCTATGTGCCCTTTCCACTGTGCACGTGTGTGATAGGCCCAGGGCCTGAGGTAAAGTGGACGCACAGTAGCGCTGTAATTCTGCCGGTTTAATGGACTCAGGGACACCGATCACTCTCAGATTATTTCTGCGGGCCCTATTTTCCAGGTCATCGACCTTTTCCATTAGGTATTGGATCGTTTTGGTTGTGCCGTTGTGTGCCCTATGTTCGGCCTCGGAGCGGTCCTCTAGATCACTAACTCGCAGCTCCATGGCTTGCATTCGGGAGATTTGAGTCTCTAGGGCCGCGTTCAGAGGGCCTAAATATTGTTGGATGGAGGATGCAATGACAGCCGCAATGTCTGCTTTGAGAAATGAGGCCACCTCCGATGCTATTTTGTGGTAGTCTATGGGGTCAGCTGAATGTGCGATGCTTTGTGTGGTACGTAGCATGTCATTACCAGCATCCGCGTGATCATCAGCGTCCGCCATCTCTGAGGCGCCGTCAGTGATTCCCGGCGGTTGAAGCGAGCGCCGAGCAGAGCTCGGTTTGGCCAGGTAACGATCCATATCTCGTTAGTGTTCGTCTAGGATCCCTGACAACGTCCCGGAATGGTCCTTGGATTCTTTTAACGATCGGTTCCACGAGAAGGCTAGACGGAGCTCAGGAGCACACTTCTACTCCATTAGGCGCCGGAACCGGAAGTCACCATTTT